TGAAAAACATAATGAAAAATGAATGAATATTTGATTTGTTCATTAATTAACATTCATTTTTTTGTTTCAGGAAAAAAAAAAATTAAAACTTCAAACCCCGAAATATGACAGATATCTTTATGTGTGTGTTTCTTTTGATCACGATATTTGTTTGGTATTTCCGACAAACATGTAAACATCGCCTACACACACACATCAAAAATCAGAATTTCTATATTTGCGTTTCTTTTTGTATGTCAAACCAAAAAATTCAAAGAAAAAAATTACATACCGTTCAATACCGATGAATGTTAATGTATATGTTGTCACGAATACTGACATTAATTGTACAAATTGTGTTACTGGACAAAGTAATGGATGAAATATCCAACGGCCCTAACGTTTTTATTTTTTGATTTGGTTATACAAACAATAAAGTAAACAAATAGGAAATGAATGAAATTATTTGATATTTTCCATTTGAAAAAAACAAGACATACCAGCATAATATCCGTATAAATGAATGGTGTAACCAATACACCTAATAACAAATCTGAAATAGCTAAATTTATAAGAAATTTTTGTAGATTTCTAGCTGAACGTCGGCCATATATTTCAACCAATATAACCAATGTATTACCGGTTAATGCAAAAAATGTTGACAATGAATATAGAATGACTAAAAATGTTTGACCAAATAAACCGAATGCTTCCAATTGTCCAATTTCAACAGTACCGGTTGATGTTTTCAAACGTACTGATGTTATATTGTTTTTATCTAACCATGATGGATCAGCCATTTTTATTCATCAAATTTTTTCGGTTGTTCAGTTTCAATTTCACAATTTTCAATGGTTTATTCTTGAATAACAATGCATCTGATTAACAAAAAGAAAGAAAAAGAAAAAAATCAGATGATAAACAAACAAACAAACAACAACAATTCTGTCTGAATAATTGATCAAATTAATCGATTGATTGATTGATTTTTAATTCCCCTAAATAAAATGGTTATAATGGTGAAAAGAAACTGGAAAGAAAAGTGTTATGAAAAATTTATTCGTGAAAAACAAAAACCAAGAGAAAAACAGAAAATCATCATATGTTCATTGAACTATGAATAATAAAAACGATGTTGACGAAATATTAATCCATCATCATCTCGAGTGTGTGTGTTGAAATGCATCATATGTTTTTCATATATTTCAATTTTGCTGCTTGATGATGCATTTACCGTCGCATCCATTTTCATCATCATCATCATTATCTTATCATCATCATCATCATCTTTCTTTCGTTTTGGTCGCTTAGAAGAAGCAACATTGTGTGATAAGAAAGAAAAAAGTGACAGTTTTTTTTCTTTTTGGCTTTGTTTTAATTAAAAATTCTCTCACTGATAATAAACCTGACATTGGAATATCATTATGATGATAAAATGGTCTATATTTTTCAGGGAAAGTTCTCTCACTTACTGTGTGTGTTTGATTTGATTATCAGATCAGTTTTCATAAGAAAAAAAAACAAAAGAAGAAAGAAGAAAAAATCTGACATTTTTCTTTCTGAAGAAAAGATAAAACGTTATTCAATTTAGAAAACGAGAAGCGAAAAATTCTTCGAAATTCACTTACAAAGAAAAAAATCCAAATTTGATTCAATTTAGATTCTTTGATCGATTCCAAAGAAGAAGAAGAAGAAAAAATAGAAAATTTTTTGCAGAAAAACTAATTAATTATAATTAATTTTTTTAAATTTACAATTTCATTTCATTTGTGAAGAATTAAATTGACTTTCAATCGACTATTCTATTTTGACGATTCTGGTAATGGTTCTGATTTTTTTTTCAATTAGTTTTGAATTCGCTATAAAGAGAATCGAGGCAGAGATAGTAAACAAACTGGGAATGCATACATTAGTTTTGATTTTTTTTAAATCTTTCTCTCGCATCCATTTTACCTTAAGGCGCTAATATTTTTTTTGAAAACCGAAATCTATACATTGAATCTACAATGTTTAAACGCATTTCATTGGAAAAGATGAATATTTTATTTTCAGAAGAAAAAAAATCCACATTAAATCAATTAGAAACTTATTACAGTAGTTGCAGTTGACCATTTCCTAGAATAATAAAAAAAAACATGAAACATTTTTTTACTTTTTATGCTATAGTTAAATATTCATTCATTCAGCATCTGACATTTTGTTGACAGTGATTTTTTTTCCATTTCCATTCATTCAGAAAAAAAAATAAAAATCATATGATTTTTTGGATTACTTAATAAATGGAAATGGATAATTCGAAAAAACTTGAAATTAGAAATGAAAAAGTTTTTTTTTCTCATTTCATTTCACTTCTTATTTTGCCATTCATTTTCTTACTGAAATTTTGCACATAAGCCGATTTTCATGTTTGTTTGGATTGTGGTGTATACAAAAGTAATATTTCAAGTGAAAAAAAAAACATAATGATCAGAGAATTTTCCCTGTTCAATATCTATATTTTTATCATAAAAAGTAACTTTTGATTTCGAAAAAAAATATTTCGTTTGTTTGTTAGTTTTGTTTTGAATTATACTTTATTAAAAAAAATAAAAAATAAATTCATAAATGATGATGTATTATATGCAAATTTGAAATGAAAAAATGAAAATAATTTATTTATTTTTTCTTTATTTGAAAATGTAAATTTTCCTTTTGGAAAATCATCATGTTTATGAATCTTTTGTGTGTGTGTGTTTGTGCGGGGGTTATTTCAAATGTCATGAAAGAAAAATCAAAAGAAACCATAGCAGAAAAGATTTTGTAATTTTATTTTTTTTTATAATTCAAAAAGAAGAAATGTACTTATTTTTATATAAAAATAAATAAAAGGAAAAAGAAATCGAGAAGAAAAGGAAAAAAAAGGAGAAAATCAAAATCAAAATTCTTACTTTTTGGTTGATGAATTGATGAAAGAAACAGAGAAAAAAAAATCTTGTAAAAATTCACAAACAAACAAAATAATGTGATTACAAAGCGAAACACACACACACGGAGAGAGAGAAAAAAAATTAATTTACTGTAAAAACAAATCAATTCTGAAACAAACAAAACAAAAAAAATCATTTGTTGATGGAAAATTGATGGAAAAAAAGTTCAAAACTTGAATTTTTGTTTAGTGAATATCTTTATCAATCAAACAGCAGCACTGGGTTATTATTGTTTTTGTTGCATTTTTGAAATGACAGAATCTTGATTTTTTTTTTGTTGACAAAATCAAATGTTTCAATGGAAATTGAAAATTCGCAGCATAACAAAATCATTTCATTGTGAAAACGATTGAAAACGGATAAAGTTTTTCTTTTTTCGGAAATCAAGAGTGAATCATTTGATTGATATGTGTGTGTGTGTGTTTTGTTTTGCTGTCAACATTCGTTTATATGGATTCTTCTTTCGAATCTGATGGAGATATATTCTACAATTGAAATTCTCGCCGATTCTTTGCTTCTTTTCTTTCGAATAGAGAGAAAGAGAGAGAGAGAAAAGCGCGCATTTGATCTGCAGAGTTAATAATAATAATAATGAAAATCATGCGCAGTCAGTGTTATTTTTTTAAAAATAATGAAAATTTCACAATAGTAAAAATTACTATAATTGGAAAACAGTTAAGGGTTAATTTTCAGAGAAAAAAGAAACAATTACAATGTGCTTTTGTGTTAATTAACAAAAATTCAGATTTTTTCGTTTTTTTAATTAAACACTAATCCCCTTTATTTAAACACATTTTGGGTAATTTTGCTGATCCAGAAATCAAATTGATCGGATATTCGGATATCGGGATTGAATCAATCGATTGAATTCGATTATTGCTGTTGTTGTTTTTGCGTTCGGTTGAACCTGATACATTTTGTTGTTCCAAAAAAAATTCCATGTTCCAGGTTTCCATTTTCAGTTCATTCATGGGTTATACACACACACACACACACACAAAACAAACGCAGAAACATTGATCATTTGATCACTTGATTTTTCTGTTTTGTTTTTCCTTTTTGGTCACATTTTCCTTCTTCTTCTTCTGCGTTTTTCATATTGCACTTAACCTCGATAAGGTTTCCTTTTCATTCATTCTTTTATTCTTGAACTATATTTAATCATTGGAAAACAATCAAACTTTCACTGGAAAACAATCATTCTTTCTTTCTTTTGTAAGAAAGGGAAAAAGTTGTTTTTGTTCCAAGTTTTGTCAAAATAGAAAATATCTTGAAGCGGAATAAAACAAACCAGAAAAAGATTTTTTTTGTTTACATTTCTTTGATGTTGTTTTCAAATTTGCAATTCAAACATCTTTCGCCCACCCACCTACACACACTCCAAAGGTATCAAGGTAAAATTTTTTCGTTTTATTCCAGGTGTGTTTCAGGTGGGAGCAAAATTCATTTTTTTTTTCTTATTTTTTCATCCGGGAATATCGATAATGTGTTAACTTTTATCGATTTGGGAGAAAAAAGTGCTGGGAAACAAATGAAACAAAAAACCAATGGTAAAAAACCTATGATTTTTTTCTTCACAAAGAAACAAATTCATTTTTGTCATTAAATTGTCATTATCATCGTCTTTCCAAATATTGATTTGATAATCAAGTTGGCAACCGAAAAAAAATTGACAAAATAATTACCGGAATCAATGTGAAACACACACACACAAACATTCAGGATTCTTCAAAGTACATTTCAAAAAAAAATAACATTGATTAATTTTAATCGAATATTCTTGTGTGTGGTGGGTAAATGATAATTTTCGTTTCTTCACCCATTTTTTTCCTTTATCAAAAGGTTCGTGGAAACAAATTCTCAGGAGAAAAAACAACCAGCAACCAGCATTCTTTTGTTTCTGTTGTTTTTTTCGGGCACGTCATTCCATTGCTTTTTTTTGTTCTCGAAAAAGATGGATTTTTGTTTTTCTGGTTTTATTTTTATCTTTTTTTTCTGGCCAAAATCGATGAACAACATTGTTGTTGTTTTGGAACGATCAAAATCTAGGAACGAGGTCGAAAAAAAAACAAAAAACAAAATGTTTTTCTCCCTCATATGATTCTGGTGAAAGAATCTTAAGATGAAGAAAAAAAATGTGATTGAAAAACAACAAAACAAAATAAAATCTGCTACATCTGCTGATCTCCTGAAAATACCTTTCGGTCTTTGGGATTTGACAATTTTTGCAAATACAGAAAACAGAACAAACAAACAAAACAAAACAACCGAACAAACAAACAAACATAATCATCACGTTTATTTAGTTATTCAAGTAAAATACATTCTATATTTACATTTCAAACTTCTTTTTTTTGAAAAACATTTTCAAAAAATCCATTCTTAATTCCATCGATTTGGAAGAAAAAGACTAAAATTTATTATTCACATTCATCGATATTAGATCAGTAAACTTTGTGTCAATTCAATAATATATTGTATTCTGAATAAATGTTTGTTAGACAAACAAAAAAAATAACGAAAAACTACATACAGAATATCCAAAAGAAAAAACCAACAGAATAACAAAAGCATAATGATAATAATGTCGATAAACGTAAACATTATCCAAATAGAGTTATTATATATTTTTTTCTATGTTTATTTATATTTAATGATGATGATGGTGATGAAAATTTTCATTATTAATATTATCATTATTATGTTTTCATTTGGAAAACAATCAACCCTAGAGAGTGAAAAATGAATGAAACAAAAACAAAATGATTGATGACTGTAATTGATCTGTTTTTTCCCCTTGTCATCATCATCCTTTCAAACCAAAAAAAACAAACATCTTTCTGTTTTCATTGGAAAAACCCTATAGTTGGAGAGTAAAATATGATTTTGATATGATGGTTGTTGATTTATCCTTGTTGAATCATCATATTTTTGAACCGAAATGAAAAACATATGATGATGATCAAGGATCCAACTGATTCTCATCAACAACTGATGAAATGATCCTGGTGTTTGAATACAAAATAAGACAAGGCATTTATTTTCTCTATACTTTCATTTTTTAATATCCTGCTGTATTTCCAAAGAAAACAAAAAAAAAATCAGTTTTTTTTTCGTTTTCAATCATCATTTTCATTTTCATTTGTTTCATTTGTTTTTCGGTTTTCAATTTCGATTTGTTTGTTTTTCGGTTTTGTTTTTGTTCCAAGGTTTCCCGGTTCCAACATCCAATACAAACAAGCAGAAACAAAACAAAACAAAAAAACAAACATTAAACATTTATCATTTTTGATTTTAATATTCAATAATCATCAACGATAATCATGATTTGAATCTGTTTGAATCGAGAAAAATTTTAATCTTTTTCGCCTTACGCAGAAAATTGTCAAAAGTTTTCCTGATTTGGTCAACCATCATCATTATTTTCAAAATCATTTTCAAAATTCTTGTTTGTTATGCGAATTTTTGCCTTCGGTTTGTTTCTGTTTTCGTTTTCGTTTGGCCTCCAACGAACATCACAACAGCATTGATTTTTTTTTCGTTTCTCAAATGAGCTATATTTAGACCTTGATCCAAAAAAATCGTTTTAAATCATTATTTTTTTGTTTCATTCTTTCATTCGCTGGTGTGAGAAGCAAAAAAAAAAGAAGAAACAGAAAAACAAAAGCAAAAAGCAAAATTATAATAACATTCCCGGATAGGCAAAAAACAAGACCAAAAAACAAATTCAATGTAACTTTTTTTTTCAAAAAAATGTTTGAAAATCACATGAATTGAATGAGAAATAAAAGCAAGCAAATCCAAACCGAAAAAAATCCTTTCCAAAAATGCATTCATTTTTTCCATTTCAAAAATTTAATTATCATTCGAAAAAAAGTACAATGATGATTTGATAATCATCATTTCATAACCCTATTATCATCATCATCATAATTCGGAAAATAATGTACATTTTTTTCGTCTATCATCTGTCATCAAACATAATGATAATGATGATGATCTTTAGCATCTATATTTTATTCTTTTCTTTTTTTTCATTGTCATCCAAAACAAACATAAAACATACATGCATATTTATTTATGGATAATTTATTAATTTTTCAATGTATTTTGCATTAACCAAAGCAAAAAAAAACTGAAAGAAACTAAAAAAAAGAAAAAACTGAAAAACGAAACTGAAAAACGATCCAATTCTTTTTCATCGATAAGTTTTTCTTTTTTCTCAAGAAATTCTGTAATTCCAATTAACATTTTTTTCTCTCGTTCGTTCGTTTAGTGTCTTTAAATGTGATAAAAACGTTTTAATTATAGATTAGATTAGAAACGCGAGAGAAATGAAACTTTTTTTCACCAGTTTTTACTGGAATTTTTTTTCATTTTTACGAATTGTACGAAACAAAAAAAATCAATTTGATTATTTCATGAGGATTCCACCATCGTCGGCAACAACGACAACAAAACAAAACATTATCAGCATTTCGCAAGAAAAACTGAGGAACCTGAAAAAAAGCAGCAAAAAACAAAATTCTAATGAAAAAGAAGAAGAATATCATTATTTGTTGTCAATCAATTGTTTTGCCAAAAATTATCATTATGCAATTTGTCATTTTCTTCTCCTCGTCGTCTTTCTTGCACTGTTTCGTTTTTCCCAAATTAATAAATCAATATTAATAATCGACCATAAATGAAATTGAAAAATCCTGGTTAAAAAAATGAAAATATTTTTTTTTGGATAAAAGATGGCGCTTTTATGAGGATTTCAATCAGGTGCTGACATCTGCCGAGTAAAGTTGTTTTGTTGTTGTTGTTATTCGATTTCGAACACACGTGCAAACTTGAATTTTTTTCTGTTTTTTGATTTTTGATTTTTTGATTTTGTTTTTGGTTTTTGAACAAAAAAAAAATTCATCAATTTTTATCATCATCAAATAAAATTGGGTAAGTTATTTTTTCTCTCCCACTTGCAATAATAAGCATTCGTCAAGTTCATGATCGATTCAAGATCGATAAATGTTGATCAGAAAATCACTTTACCTTCGTTTTTTGGTTTATCAAATATTTTATTTTAGTTTTTAAAAACAATAATAATAATAAAATTATTCAAAGTATCAATAAACACATTCATTTAGATTATTATAGAGAGAAGATAGATAGAAAAAATATTAATTAATTGGAAAAATGTACAAATTTTTGAATGTTTTTTTGCTTCTTCTGTTTGTTTTTTCACTTGGTTAAAATTGATATTGAAAGAAACAAAAGTAAAAAAAAAAGGTCTTGAACATGATTATCTTTTGAATGTTTTTTTTTTGTTTCATTTGTAAATGTTGTTTTTGAAAACAAAAAAAAAATCAAATGTTGATGATAATGATGTTGTTGATCGATATTTTGTTTGTAAATGTGTGATATGTGAAAAACAAGTGATGAAAATCTGAAAAACTGATTTCTAAAGACAGCTAAATTCTTTTTCAGGGCCAACAATAGTAACTGTAGATAAATCAATACCAACTTGTACAAAAACTAATATAAACATTGCTATACCGAATAATATGATAAATATACCATAAAAATAGGAAAAATTCCATATTAAATGCCAACGACGTGTACCTTCTATACTTTTTAATAAACGTCTTTCATTATTCATTTTTGCATAATAACCATTTAAATGACGACTGGCTAATGAAACCATACATATACCCGGGAATACGAATACATTACATGCTGCTAATGAACCTAAATTTTTTTTGTTGATAATATTCAATTGATTAGCCCATGCAATATTCATATATCAAACTTCAAATCAAATCGAAAATCATACCTAATGTTTCAATAGCAATAGTAATATTTGGTGTTATAACAGCCAATATTAATACAAAAAGATTCCATAATGTTGTTATCGTTATACGACGCATACGTTCACCTTTTATATATTGTTCAGTTGTTAAACGAAACCATTCAGCATAAAGACCATCCAATGCACCACTTTTTTTCATTTTGGTGATCAAGTAAAAAAAGAAAACAAGAAAAGATCATAGGTTTTTTCAAATATATTTGTTAGGTATGTTATTATAAGATTTGAAAATCTCAAAAACCGACAATGACAATCAAAATGCACCCATATCTTATTTTGATCAGATCAAAATATATACTATATAATTATAATCTTTAATTCTCCATTCTATATCTCATAGTTTGGTGAAAGCCTAAAGGTTTTTTTCCGAAAACCTAATCTAATCTATCATTATCTAATGGAATTTTATATTCGATTAGAATCTTTCATCGCCTTTTTTTCTAAGGATAAATATTATTTACAAAATCAAAAAAAAAATTGACTTACCGACCGCAAAACATAATCGGAACATATGTGCTAACCATTTTGATGATCAATGCAACGATACCTATTCGATTGTTCAATGGAAAAAAAGTTTATGAAAAAAGCTTTTTTTTTCGTTCGATCGGAAATTGATTTAATGGAATTTTAATGTTTTTCATTTTTTGCTGTTGTCAGCAAAAAAAAAAACAAAACAATCATATGACATACCTGTAGTAACAACCGGATCTCTTGCATCATACATTTGTATAATATCGGCTTTAACTTTATCACCAAATGTAATATAACCATATGAACCACCCAAATTATAAATAACCAATAATAAAACTAATGAAAATATTGTTGATTTTATAAAATTTGTTGATCGTGGTTTAGCTAGGCTTGAATAAACAGGCAAAACAATTTCATGTGTTTGATAAGCGAAACAAATGACTGGTAATGATGCAAATGCAGCTATTACACTTGTAGGACTGTTTTTTGAAAGATGTAAAGAATATTATTTTTTTTACTTGGGGAATTTTCCAAGAAAAAATTTACCTAGTTTTTATCTGACCGGGAACAACATCCAATGCATAATATTCATAAATATTTAGAAAAACAACATAGATCATGGCAAAAATGCCCAACATACTGCATGTATAAATGTAAATGAATGAGAATCAGTCATTTTTTCAATCGTTAGAATAATTATCAATTAATTTTATACAAACCATAAATAACGAAGAAAATCTAAACGTTTAAAATAACAAATTGGCCATATAAATACAACTGCCGTTATGATTATCGTAAATGTACGTGATAGCCAAAATGTTTGACAAAAATCATGTCCAATAAATGTATAGAATACTATTTTTTCCCGGGTGTGAAAAACAAGTTGATGTCATTTAAATCACGAGAAAGAATTTCCAAAAATAGCAAAAAACTTACATCTATCAAATTGATCACCAATAATAATCAAAAATGTAACATCAACACCAAAACAAGTTGACATAATAGATGTAGCGGCTAATTGTTGTGCACGTTTTCCACCCATCGAACGTAAAACATCATGATATGTAGTATCTTTATGTAGATCAGCACACCACATTAATGCCAACATTGTTGATGCCAATAATATTACGATACACTAGATTTCAAAAAGTTCAAAAGATTGAATAAATGAATGGGTTCATGTTTTGGATGTGGTGATACAAACAAATTGTAAAATAGTCGATATAACTATACCACCCAAACGATCATATGCGGCTGGATAATTTAAAATACCAGCACCTAATGCTGTATTGACCAATAAAAATACGCCAACTTTCCAGCTACTATCTGTGTATATGGGGTTTTAAAAAAAAATTATTAATTTTTAATTTCATTTCAGTTTTTTTCTATAGAAACAATGATGATAACACCGAAATTTCGTGTGGAACAAGATTATAATAATCTTTATGTGATTATTCGCATGGCTAATTGTCGAAGCTTGTGGTCAGAAAATTCCTTGGAAATTTTTCATCAAAATAATGAATTTATTTTCTTTGGTAAACCTTCTTATTATCTTCGATTGGAATTACCTGGTGAAGTAATATCAAGTGATACAATTATTGCAGATGAAAATTTGGAGAAACAAAAAAACATTCAATTCAACTATGACAGCGAAACGAATGAGCTTAAAATTCCTGTCGAGAAAAAAAATCCAGGCGAACATTTCGAAAACCTTGAAATATTAGAACAATTATTGGCCAAATCGAAAACAAAACCTGGAAAAAAATTGATTGAAGTTTTACAAACAAAGGATTTTAATCATCAAAATGATTTAGAAAACGACGAAGATGAAGAAGAAGAATTTGATTGGACAATTGAACAAAAAATTTCAAACAATGACCAAGATGATATTCAATTTAGCCACCAATATCCATATGGATTTGCCAACAGTATGACCAATATTATTATCAATGATAATGAAGAAGATTCAGAAATATTTGATATAAAAAATCCAGGTAAAAAATCATTAGCACAAAGACGTCGGGAACGTTTACGAAAAGAATTGAATGATTTTGATGAACAATATTATTTAGCAAATTTATATGATAATGATGATAAATTATTGATTGATTCAATGATTGAATCACCGTCATCAGCACCATGGAATGATTGGAAATCATCAAAATCAGCAATATTAACCGATCAAGAACGAAAATATATCAATGAAAATATTATACCGGAAAAATATGATTTTATCAGATATGATTCATCGAGGAAAAAAACCCTGCTACTCAGTTTATTTGATATTTTGTTTGGTTATTGTTATGATCTACGTACAAATGATTTTGAACATACATGTGAATCACCGTGGACAATCGTCAAACTATCACCAACATTAAGCTGTTTTGAATATTGGTTACCATTAAATAATGATTATCAATTTGATGATGATGATAATTCAATGTTATTGAATGAAAAAAATATGCCAAAATTAATGTTAATCAATTGTTTACGTAGATCATTAATATATCCATTATATAGAAATTGGAAATTATCAATCAAAGTGTTAATGGATGTTATCGATATTCTATCTATCGGTACGAATGCTATACTAAAATGTTTATTGGGTAAGTTTTGTTTGTTGTTTGAAATTCTTAATCTTTTTCTTTCTCTCTCTGATATTTTTCAACTCAACATATTTTAGATATGCATAAAATTATGGCCATCGATGGAGAAAATCGATCATTAATCAATGATTTATATTTAACCCATTATTGTTGTTGGATTCAACAACAACAACAAAAACAAAAACAACTGGATCATTGGTTTAAATCATTGGCTAATTATCTATCAACAATATGCAATAATAACAAATATATTGATAAACAAACGCTGGGATTAGATTTGCTTGTGTTGGAAAAAGCAGCTAAAATTGCCATCGATGAACAACAACAACAACAACATTTATCAAAAGGATTAAAATATTTGCTTCAGATTTCTGATCATCGTGTTTCAATCGATGATGATAGTGATGATGATTGATTGATTGAAATAAAATAAAAAAATTCTTACCACTTGGTTTTACTGCTGTTTCATTACAATTAATATCAGCATAACGAATAGATTTTTCATTATCCATTGATTGTTCCATTAATGGTGTTTTTTCATCATCATGTTGTTCATCGATTGATGTCCACTCAACGATATTGCTGTTTGTTTACAGTGAAATCAGTGATTATCTTGGAATTGCTTCACGGGGTTAATTAAAATAATACCTTTTGTTGATTCGAATGGAACCTTGTCTGGAACAAACTTTGATTAACGAACACTACCAACACCAACATCTTCCTGTTCCTGTAGACGATGTAATGAATCCATTATGTTTCCGTTTGTTTCATGGTTGATACAAATTAGAAAATTTTATGAAGAAAGGAAAAAAAACAAAACAGAATCCAATTGAATCAGAATTATTGCAATCAGTCAAAAATTTAAAAAAAATCGAACGAAACGAACGAAAAAAATTCAATTTAACCACTGAATGATCATTGAACAATCTACAACAACACTAATCACAAAATGAAAAAATCAAAAATCAAGATATCAACTTTGATTTTCATTTAATCAATCAACCAAACCATATCGAAAAACTACTCTTGAATTTGAAAATCTATCAATGATGAACTTGTTTTTGTTTCATGTTGTTTTAGCATCATGTCATGTCATGTCATATATATGTGAATAAGTAGGATTCAATCCACGTATTATGACCAGTGGAGATACAGGACCA